TCGGCAAGCTCTGCTACATTCTTTTTCAGGGCATTGATTTCCTTGTACATTTCTTCTTTCAGGTCCTGTATACTTTTCCTCATTTCATCGTGTTGTCTAGCTGAGTTTTTTTTTTTTATCTCATTTAGTTTCCTTAGAATTTTCACTCGAAATTCCTTGTCAGACATTTCAAGGGCTTCTTGCTCTATAGGATCTACAGCTTGAGAATTATTATCCTTTGGTGGTATACTTTCTTGATTTTTTCATATTTCTGGTATCTTTCCTTCAATGTTTAGTCATCGTGGCAGGGGATTTCACAGTCCACTGGTTTGACACTATTGTCTGGCTAGGATGCTGCTGGGGCCACCTATTTTGTATGGCTGCCTCAGTGTCTTCTCAGTTGCCCACTAGTGCCTCGGGTGTGTGGTTGCCTACCTGCCTCAGAGGAGCCACCTCTCTGGTCAGCACGCACTCAGCCAGACTGTGGATGGAGTCAGGTGGTGGTGGCAAGGCCTACCTGCTGGGTTGCATGCTGGCACTGCAGGGCGGGTAGTCTCTGAGTATCATTGGCCTCTCTGGCTGGGTGCCTCTCTGATCAGCACGCACTCGGTGGGGCTGGGGATGGAGTCGGGTGGCGGCGGTGAGGCCTACCTGCTGGGTCACATGTTGGCACTGCAGGGCTCATGGCCTACGCAGGTCTTGGGCTTCTCCAGCTGGGTACTTCTCTGATCAGGGTGCACTCTGCAGGGCTGGGGATGGAGTTGGGTGGCACTGGCAAGGCCTACCTGCTGGGTCAGGTGCTGGCACCACAGGGCACGTGGTCTCCGCAGATCTTGGCACCTCTCTGATTGGCGCTCACTCAGCAGGGCTGGGGATGGAGTCAGGCGGCAGCAGAGGCCTACCTGCTGGGTCATGCACTGGCACCACAGGGTGCGTAGTCTGCTAGGATCTTGGGCCTCTTGTTCAGTTTCTTTATTCAGATAAACCAAACTTGTCTGGGGGCTTTGGGAGCTATCTAATGGTGACAGTATTGTCCAAACCTCAGATTCAGATTTCCATATAGGCACAAGTAGGAAGCCAGATGCAGATAATTAAGATTGGACGGGTCACATGGAATAGGCCACTAAAAAGTGGCATACCTCCCCAGGGAGGGCACACCCAACCAGAGAAGGCCCAGGCCAGTGGCCCTCCAGGAAGGCATGTTTTTGTTGTGTGTGACTTCCAGTAACTTTCACTTGGTGCCCAACCAGCATTTCCTAAACCATTAATTAACCCAGAGCTTTGAGAAGTTTCAGAGCTTCCTTCAGTTACCTGCTCAAGCAGTGGAAGAATTCCATGCTGGATTCTGGCGTTAAAGGTGGCAGCCTCTCAGTTTTCACGTCTGCATGAGTGAGTTCTGGTGAATGGTGACTCACTGTACACCTTCATTGCAATGTCATTGGTCCAGGCTGCTTGTGCTGCCAATGTTACACGTGCACCAATGTGAGGAGTTGTTGTAAATTAAAATTGTACAGTAAGTACCGGTGTGATTTTCTCTCCCTTTTTGTTTGTTAGCCCTGAAATCCCTGGGCATTCTTATGACATCTGTATGAGCATGTCAACCAGCAATTAAGTTTCATTTGAGGAACCTTGACCCCATGTCAGAGAGTAGCACCATGATTTGATTTAACAGTGGTGTTCCTGGTACTGTCTGCAAATAATATTCTGATGAATTATCAGCTAATTTGGGGAGACTCATTGACTTCTATTGATGAGAGAACACTGTGGCCAAAGTTTGAAGACACAGGTTCTGGTCATTTTACAGCCACCATCTTGGACTTAGTGTACTCAGATCTCAAGCAGATGGAATTGCACCTTACCTCCTGCAGATTAGCACTTAGCTGCAAAAGATACATATTATATTATGTAATACATACTCATAAAGTGTGCTCTAGAAATAACACACAAAGTGATACATAGCTGTGTTCTAATTATACTTACAATGGCCATGATGTTACTTTACTGAAAATTATCTGAAGTTCCAGAAGTTTCTGAATCAACAGAAAAAATAAGGAAACTAATCAATGTTGCCTTTTATACTTATAATGGGATTTTTTAAAGGAGAGGGGCACAGTACACACCAGGGTGCTTGGCTGCAACTAACTGAAAGTGGATCTACTAGACTTAAGAGAACATGGGTTCATCTGAAAGGAACTGAGGTGGTTCACAAACCTAGGGAGATCCTGGATTACCAGGCTTCGAAAGTGAGCACAGACCGAGGGCGCAAGGCAGCTGGAGCACGTGCCTGGTCAGGATGCCCCAGCTGCCCCCCCACACAGTGGAGCACACCACTGGCCCACTTAGGCAGCCACCACACACGTGGACACCATGCCACCCCACTCTTTAAAACCTGTCCTTGTCTCCTTGCCTCACCTCCTCCCAACCTAAAATACAGAATTGGAGCATCTGATTGGTTGATCCAAAGGTGTCTATGTCCTACCTTACAGGAGGGAGGAGGAGAGGTGTCTGGCTTCTCGGCTTCTGTAGTAGGGGATGTGGCTCTGACTTCTTCCACAACACACGTGGGGAGGGGGGTCTCCCAAAGAAGAAGCCAGTTCAGACTTGAGACAGCTCTCAAGTTAAACATTAAAGCTACAAATGTCCAGTACAGAAACTTAAAGTAAAATTGAGCATGTCAACCAGCAATTAAGTTTCATTTGAGGAACCTTGAGCCCATGTCAGAGAGTAGCATCGTGATTTGATTTAACAGTGGTGTTCCTGGTACTGTCTGCAAATAATATTCCGATGAATTATCAGCTAATTTGGGGAGACTCATTGACTTCTATTGATGAGAGAACACTGTGGCCAAAGTTTGAAGACACAGGTTCTGGTCCTTTTACGGCCACCATCTTGGACTTAGTGTACTCAGAGCTCAAGCAGATGGAATTGCACCTTACCTCCTGCAGATTAGCACTTAGCTGGAAAAGATACATATTATATTATATAATACATACTCATAAAGTGTGCTCTAGAAATAACACACAAAGTGGTACATAGCTGTGTTCTAATTATACTTACAATGGCCATGATGTTACTTTACTGAAAATTATCTGAAGTTCCAGAAGTTCCTGAATCAACAGAAAAAATAAGGAAACTAATCAGTGTTGCCTTTTATACTTATAATGGGATTTTTTAAAGGAGAGGGGCACAGTACACGCAAGGGTGCTTGGCTGCAACTAACTGAAAGTGGATCTACTTGACTTAAGAGAACATGGGTTCATCTGACAGGAACTGAGGTAGTTCACAAGCCTAGGGGGACCCTGGATTACCAGGCTTCGAAAGTGAGCACAGACTGAGGGCGCAAGGCAGCTGGAGCTCGTGCCTGGTCAGGATGCCTCAGCTGCCCCTCCACACAGTGGAGCACACCGCTGGCTCCAAGCTGTGATGGACAGCTGGCAGGCCCACTTAGGCAGCCATCACACACGTGGACACCATGCCACCCCACTCTTTTAAACCTGTCTTTGTCTCCTTGCATCACCTACTCCCAACCTAAAATACAGAATTGGAGCATCTGATTGGTTGATCCAAAGGCAAGTGTCTATGTCCTACCTTCCAGGAGGCAGGAGGAGTGGTGTCTGGCTTCTTGGCTTCTGTAATAGGGGATGTGGCTCTGACTTCTTCCACAACACACGTGGGGGGTGGGGGGTCTGCCAAAGAAGAAGCCAGTTCAGACACAAGACAGCTCTCAAGTTAAACATTAAAGCTACAAATGTCCAGTACAGAAACTTAAAGTAAAATACTAGATTTGACTAAGGACTAAAACATTAAGATTGCCTTATTAGCATAAGTTAGTAAAAAGTTTGCTGGGCTACTCTGACAGAGCTTTTCCCTCAGTGCATTTCCCAGAGATGACTAGGATTGCTATGTTTAAAATAAATGTTTAAATATGCTTAAAAGCTGGAGCCTTTAGAGTCACTAATAATGACTAACTTAAACACATTACTGTTACACTATCGTGTGAAACGTATGCACACATTTTGGGTAGTAGAGTAGCTGGACAGACTTCACTTCTGCTTGATAAGGGTACCAGCTAAAAGGCTAACAACTGCACATTTGATCCACTGGAACTCAGCTCCAGCCTATGCTCCTGCTTACCTTTACTGGTTAGTGCCAGGTTAGCCAAACAAGGACACTAATAAATCCTCAGACAGGAAGCACACCAGCCCTCTGAGATGGAGGTGAAGGACTGACTCCACATCACTAATATGAGAGGACTTCCAAAACTTCATGGGAAGATTCATGTTATGTTTTAGTTCTATTTCCCCTAACTCTCTGAAGGACCCTCCTGCCAGTGCTGGCCGCCTGCAGCCTGGCACCAGAGTGGCCCATGCACAGGCAGCCCAGCAGCACCTGGGCTGTGATCAGAGCTGCATCACAAGCGTCCCAGATCACAGATTGTCGTCCTGCTGATTTGCTACTGTTTCTCGCAGCCTACATGGCGTGACATCTGGTCATCTCTCACCTCGTGATGGGCAAGCTGTTTTCACCAGTGACATGGTGAGGAGGACTGCATGCAGGGCTTTTCCTTGAATCACACCATTTCCCCTCCTCTTCTCTGGGATCCCTCCCCAAGGAAGCCCCCACAGGGATGAGTGGCCCAGAGGTAAGTGCAGAACCTGCCCCTGTTCTGGGCAGACTACCAGCACCTCCCAGGGCAAGACTTTCTGGTAAATTCTGAGATGTAGACCCCATGCTACTGCCTGTTCCTCTCCCTCCATCCAGACTGCCCAGGGCACTGCTTAAACACAGGGAGAGGGGCCAGGCCAGCCCGGGTCAGTCCCTCAGCTGTGCTCATGGAGTAGCAGTGGGAAGTGAAAGAGGGAAGGAGGAGGTGGGCTTCCTCCCTGGGTGGGAGCCCTTTGGCCCTTATTGTGATCCCTGAGGGAGGAAGTGAGAGAGGAGTGGGTCACAGGCCTCTGAACAGGGCACCGGAGGGAAGGCATGCAGGGAATGCCCACTCCACAGTGGCAGACCCACCTCACGGGCTCCCACGGGCCCAGCAGCCAGGACCAGGTCAGCTGCAGAGTTGGCGGACAGAGCTCCACGCCAGCCAGTGTGTGCTCGCTACGGGAGAGGGGGCAGAGGAGAAGGGGAGCCCGCACCCCACCATCCTATGGGAGGGCTGTGTGTTGGCCAATTCCAGACCGACTGCTTGACCAGCTCCATGCTCCCGCTTCTGCCATGCAGGGCAGCTGCCCAGCATCTCCACATCCAGCTGGGTCAGACAGCAGGACTGCAAGCCTGAGACTCCTGGTCTAAGTGCAAGAGAGTTGGCAGAGAGTAAAGCCCTTTATTCTGCCATCTTCTGCTCTCAAAAGAAGAAACTGAAATTCCAGAAGGGACAAAGCTTGCATTTATCCAGGCCAGTTAATGAGGAGTGTTGGACTAAATGTTGAGAATTCAGTTTAAGAAATCTGCTTTCAAATTCACAAAGGATCCTACAATGAGCCAGGAAGAGCATTTTGCTTGTTTTGTTTTAATTTAATAAACTACTTCAGGCCAGGCTCTGCAGTCCTACCACTAATCATATCACTAAAAAACTTATTCTGGGCTGATTTTTTTTTTTTTTTTTCCTCCTTGAAGTATCCACACAAAAACCTTAGCGTGTGCTGTAATTGATTCAGCCTTTCTGAGACCTTTGGGACTTGAATTTCTCAAGGTCACTAAGAAGCAAGTGTAAGCTGAAGGTTCCATAAACAATTGCAGGAAAGCCTGGGTGCTCACCGGCGATGATGAGCCAGGTTCTGCTCCTGGTGCCTGTGCCCTCCTCGTTGCAGCTCTGATGTGACGTGCAGGCCGGGGTCCGGCTCCATGCCTGTCTCTCCCTTCTAGGTTCCCTGACCTGCCTCGTGCTTGGCTGTATAGACCGCATCCTCTCTGTGCTCGACCTACTTCCCTCTTCCACAGAGCAGGAAGAGACTTGGTTCGCATCCCCTTTCTGCCTGACTGTGAGGGGTGTGCCCATCCTCTCCAGCTCTCTGTTCCTATATCTATAAAACAGTCTAATATCTCCCAGGGTTGTTTGAAGATAAATGAGGAAGCACATGTAAGAGAACCTGGTGCAACACTATTTTAGGAAGAAACCTACAAATTAATAGAATGACCCTTTATGCCAAATATCCCTTGGCCCCATATCTCCATGCAGCCCTGGGACCCTTAGGGAGCCAGGGGAGTTTGGGTCAGTGCAACCAGAAGGTGGGGATGAGGACTCCTGACTCATGAATTATGAATAGTATTTGCTGAGCATTTGGCTTCTCAACAGAGACAAGAAGAAACTAAGACCATGTCAGTCTCAGTGTTGGGACCCCCCTGCAGTCACTGGTCTCCATTCTCCCACTGCCAAGCGGTTTGGAGAAGCCTTACTTTCTGAGAACATGCATGTGACTTTGGAAGCCTGAACTTGTAAGTCATGCCTCTTGTGATTTTCATAGGATTTGCAGCCAAGATTAAGTGAATGGCTCTTTTCTTATGAAAATAAAAACATGTGGCAAGATGTAGGTGTGCATTGTTAATACTGTACATTAGTAGGAATTGTTCTGTTCTGGGAGCTTAAGGAAAGCTCTGTGACATTTGGGTCTAAGCAGTGACCTGGGGCCACAGCTTCATACCTGCTCCAGTGATCACCTGCATTTACCTGCCTCCTCTGCTTCTCACTTCCCAACTCAGCCCAAGGGCTTGGTGAGATTCCAAACAAAATCTCCTATCATCTGACCCCAGTCAGAATGGCTATTATCAAAAAGAAAATAACATGCTGGCAAGGAGGTGGAGAAACAGTAATTCTTATACACTGTTGGTGGGACTGTAAATTAGTGCAGCCATTATGGAAAACAGTCTGAAGATTTCGCAAACTACAGATAGAACTGCCATGCAATCCAGCAGTCCCACTGCTGGGTGTATACCCAGAGGAATGGAAGTCATCATGTCAAAGGGGTACCTGCACTCCCATGTTGATCGTGGCTCTGTTTACAATAGCCAAGATATGGAACCAACCTAAATGTCCATCAATGGGTGACTGGATAAGGAAAATGTGGTATATATACATAATGGAATACTACTCAGCTATAAAAAAGAATGAAATACTGCCGTTCTTAGCAACATGGATGAGGTTGGAGAAAATTGTTAAGTGAAATAAAACAGACACAGAAAGAGAAATACCACATGTTCTAACTTATCTGTGGATGCTAAAAAAGTTGATGTCATAGAACTAGACAGTAGAATAGTGGTTACTAGAGAGTGGTGGTTACTAGAGACTGGTCCGTGGATATGAAATAGTACAGAGACAAGAAGGATGGGATCTCGGGTGCTCTAGTAATATAGGGAAATTACAGTCAACAACAAAGTACTGTGTATTTTTGAACAGCTAGTCAAGATGATGCTGAATGTTCCTAAAACAAAGAGGTGACAACTGTTTGAGGTGATGTAATCATTACACCCAGTATGAATGTACCCAAATATCATATTGTAGTCCACAAGTATATACACTTATCATGGGTCAACTAAGAAAAATACACTAAAAAGAGGGGGAAGAAAAGAAATAGAGTAGTGGTTACCAGAGGCAGGAAAAGGGAAGGAGGTAGGTGGGTGGGGGAAAGATTGGTAGAGCAGTACATAGTTACAAAGTTACTGTTAGGTAGAAAGAATAGGTTCTGGTGCTGGAGGGTGATAGCAGCTACAATATTGTACTGTGTATTTCAACACAGCCAGAAAAGAGGAATGTTATTACCACAAAGAAATGATAAATGTTTAAGTGATAGATATGCTAACTAATCTGATTAGATCATTATGCTATGTATGCATATACTGAAACAACATGCATATACAACAAAAAAATTAAATAATTAAAAAAAAATCTTCATTCCATGCAGGCAAGGGATTAGAAGAAATGCACACCAGAATTTCCCCCCATCCTAGATTGCTAAATCCTTGGCATGAGTTTTAGGTGGAGGGAAGACTAGCTCCCTGGCTCGTGGAACATGCACTTTGACCCTTAGCCAAACCCTGGCCACTCACTCATGACCTGACTCTAGAATCCCCTGAGGAGGTTAAAAACTAGGGACACCTGGGTCCCCCTCCTGTGCAGTTACAACAGAAACTCTGGGGGTGGCACCTGTCCTTGAATCGCAGCCCAGAGCCCTAAGACGAGACCCACTGAGACAACATCTCAGGATGATAAGCCTCCAGCAGGCTGGTGCTGCTCCCCAGTCCTGACACCAGAGGGGTGGGGGGTGGCTGTCCTTCCCACCCCCGTAGAGGACAGAGATCACAAATGGCAGAAGCCCCGAGAGGTTCAGGTCCTCCCTCTCACCATGCATGAGGAGCCTGCTCAGCAGCGCCGCAGCAGTAGCTGGCTGCACCAGGCCTGGCGGGTGTGTGGGTGCCTTGGACTGTCCCAGAGGGGCTGCCAGTCAGGCCCCTCCCTCAGGGGCTTCTTCCCGACTCCTCTTCAGGGGCTGGGCTGCTCAGGCACAAGTAACCACCAGCCCCTCTTAAAGACACTGTTTTCCCATCAATCACATGATATGTTTCAGGCATAGCACTGGCTGCTAAATTTATACTGCTGTCTTGGCCCACTTTTAGCCACCAGCCAGCACATTTAAGGCCTATAGACTTTGAGGTCTTAAAAAGGGACTTTCTAACAAAACTCACCCAAAGAGCCTGATGCATTGCTTAGAGGAAAGGGGACCCACAGCATGTTCTGGCTGACCTGGGCACATGGCCACTTCCCTCCAAGTCCAGTGTTCGGGGGCTCTGTGCTCACCCCGGAAGGCAGAGCCTTGCTTGACAGCCTGCTGCAAGCAGGGTCCTCTGCTAAGTGCTGCCTATAAAAGCCTGGAAGGCAATCCCATAATAATAATAGATTCAGGCAGAGTCATCAATAGATGGTGAACCAGGGGATGGTGATTGGAGAACAGGGAATTTACAGGGTCTCAAAGTATCTCCCCACAGATTACTTATCAATAGCAAAGGGAGCAGGACATTTGGAGAAGCCTGGCAGACACTGCCTTAAACAAGTGTTCAGCCTTAATGAAATGGAACAAATCCAGGTCATAGGCCTCCTGAGAAAGTCACAATGTCACCCATGTGGTGCTTCTGCCAAAACTGTTTACCTTAAACCTAATCATCAAGAAACAATCAGAAAGAAAGACACAAATTGATTATGATATCGTATTATACACAATATTATTATAAAAAGCAACTGTTTGGTATTTTTCAAAAAATGTGAATGACATGAGAGGCAAATAAAGGCAGAGCATTTGTCCCTGATTAAAGGAAGCTAGAGATGTGAGAGCTACATGCAAAGTGGGGTCCTGGGTTGGATCCTGGAGCAGATGGGAAAATGCTGTGCTGGACACTTGGGGGACAATTGAGAGAATTTTGAAAAGACCTGACATTAGATAATAATTGTGCATCTCCTGAATTTAATAATTATGTTTGAAAAAGTCTTTTTCTTAGAAGAACTTCTTTCTTACGCAGAAGTATTTAGGTCCATAATATCTACAACTTGCTCTCAAAAGATTCAATGAATAATTACAGTATGTGTATGTGTATTTACGTAACTCCACATATGTTTGTAATGCACATGTGCACACACATAGTAGAGACAGAAGCAAATGCTGGCATGTGAGCATGTGTCACTTGGGAGCTAACCCCAGAAACACGGCCAGCAGGAGAGCTGTGTGGGGGCACTGCCGGGCGCTGGCCTGTGTGGTGCTGGTGGCTGGCCAGGTGAAAAGGGCAGGCCGGGCCCTCAGGAAGGGCAGACCAGACTCTCCGGCACAAGCTGAAACACCATACACAGGCAGAATTTCTTCTTCCTCAGGGAAACTTAATTCTGTTTGCATGGCCTTTGGACTGATTAGATCAAGGCCCCCAGATCATCTAGGCTAATCTCCCTTCCTCAAAGTTAACTGATTGTGAACCTTAATCACATCTGCAAAACACCTTCACAACAACACCTGAGTGTTTCAATAATGGGACGGTAGCCTCCCCAGGATGGCACAGAAAACTGATCATCTATTTTTGCAACTTTTCTATAAATTTGAAACCTTTTGAAATTAAAAGTCTCCAAGACTTGCTGCCCCCCTCCTTCCTCAAGCCCCAGTAAGTGAAGGACATTGCAGCAGGGGAGTCTGAGGGACCCCAACCACCCCTCCTCACTGTCCCAGAATTCTGTCCCTGTCATTAGGACAGCAGCAATTTAAGGCCTGGACCTGTTGTTCTTCACCAGCCTGAAGAAATTGCTCATAGCCTCTGTGACAAAGTGCCACGGCTCAGTCACCTGGCACAGTGCTTCTCAAAGATGCCAATGAATCCCTTGTGAATACTGCTTTTCAGAAAGAGGGGAACTATATATTTTTTCTCCAGAAAGTCAGATTTCTATCAAGAAAGCAAGAGCACTAGAGAAGGAATAAATGAAGGTAAAATAAAATCTTCTTTTATTTGTCTTATGAACATTATGTGTCTTTTTTATACTTTTCATTTTTTTATTTGTTTTTATAATGAACATATTCTACTAATTCGATTTTTTTGGAAAAAAAAGAATTTTTATTTTTAAATATGGGGAAGAGTTGGAAAAATCTGCTTCTTCTCTTATAAAATCAGGTTTTGCTCCATTGATAGTGACACCTTTTTTTCCCCTTCTACGTTTGGCTTGAAGCAAAAAAGTAAAACTAGCTTTAGGAGAGAAGAGAGGGGCAGGCAGGAAGGGGAGGGAGAGGAGTCGTCCCGGGTTAAAGAGAGTAAAGGAAAAGCAGCAGCAAATCTTCCCCGTAACAGGAGCTGCTTCCTCATGATGGCAAACGTGGTCTGAAAT